AAGTACTAAATGAAGAGAAAAATATTCCCTCATTAAGAGAACAGTAGTAAACCTGAATCCCTGCAGAATGGCTTGGTTAGATATACCCACCAATAATCAAACATCTTAAGCCATCCACCCCAGTGTGCAGCCTATAATTTAACCCACTGAGACTAACTGAAGCTAATGCCCTTGCTGAGAGACTGGAAACCGACTGCTGCAAGAAAAGCAATTAGCAAGAGGACATAAAGCACAGCCTTTGGTTCCCTGGAAAGACTAATGCAGAGTGGAAAAAAATCACAAGTGAAATAATTCTGTTGTCAGTGACAACAGAAGAAGCAAACCAACAAAAAATGGTATTTACGGGAAATAAGAAAATAATCCTGCACTGCATCTCCCACTAAAAGGCCAAACCCAACAGCAATAAAGAAAATGCTTATAAACTCTTGTCTGCATCTTTCAGTTGCTATCCTTATCTCATCTCTAGCAATAACTGGTTTTACACTGGCATTCAGAACGTCTTGTGAGTCTATTTACAGAAAAGCAGTAATTTTCTCCTCAAGTCTGCAACCTTTCCTGCTTGTTTATTTACACTGGGTAAATCCCTTAGTCTTTTTCTCCATTCCTTCTGCAGTGAGTGGTTGTTCTTATTCTGGAAAGGGAATCCTGGCAGAATCAGTATGAAATAAGAGACAAGAGGTTAGGTGACAAAATCGTAAAGAATATAGGATAAGCCAAAAGTATCCTAAGCACTCAGCAGCTCATTGGCAGATGCTTAAAAAAAAACCCTCAAACCAAAAATAACCCCCCAAAAAACCCCAACACGACCAATAAAAAAACCAAACAAACAAAAAAAAATCACATCATTACTCTGTTGCTTAAAAGATGTTTTAAATTCTAAAATAGATTCAATATAACTTATTTTCATCTTATCCAGAGCAAACATGCTTATCATCCCCAGGGTACATCAGCTATAAATAAAACAGCCTCAACACTTGCTCACCAACAACTGCAGACATCATCTCTCAGCAAGCAAAAACCTTCTGGGTATTATCAGTTAAACCATGAAACTCCTGAAAATGATCACTGGGTCATGAAGCAGGTTGTTTGGAAAAAATTATGCTTCTCATGGATGTTTCACAAGAGAGTTTTCTCAAACTGAGAAAGTGGTCATGCTAGAAGAGCTAATTGCTCAGCAGCAGGTGAGAGCAGGTAAAGTGACTCTTTCCATACTGAAGAAAGTCTCAGTTTAAAGTCTGATGATGTGTCATAAAATTACACACTTGTTCTTTCAGCCACCTTTCTCCCAAAGAAAGTACCAACTAAGAGGTGTCTTGTTACCTTTTCTGAGATTACTTCTCTGAGATCAAGATCAGAGTGTCACCTGAAAACCTTTCTGAAGATTAAAGTGCAATTAAAGACCTCTAAAAGTGGTCAGAAGTATTCTGGGTTGTAGGAATAATTTGAATTATTCTACTGAAACAGAGCCTGGAAATATGCCCTGTATGAACAGGACAAAGAGTGGATTTTTTTTTCTCCCATTTTAAACATGGACTCCAGGTATCAGGTGCATCTCACAGAAAACAATTTCAGAAAAATATCTATCTGACTTTTGAAAGCTTCCTCTTGTTTAATCTTAAATTTAATGATTACCTAGATGCTTCTAGGTGTACTGAAGCTTAAGACGACAGCAAATATCACAGTGCTACCTATTTTCAATGGGCAGAAAGTGAGCAGAGATTGTTTTCATTCTGTTCATCATATATAGCTTGCTTCAGGGATTCCACAAAGAAACGTGCTTTGGCCATCTGTGTGGATATTCAGGAGAGCAGCCTCACCATGCCAGACACTGACTCTGTTATTCACTTTTCAATTCAGTATCACAAGCTGCAATGACTTTTGGCCTTAGCAGAAAATAAGAAATGGAGGCTTAGGTCTAGGTTGTTAGCCACTATATCCTCACAAATTATATTCAGCTTTACCACTGTTGCCACAACAGCCTTGTTCTTGCTTTCATCACCTTTTGTGTGTATGCAGAGATGAACATCCCTCTACAGCTGAGACTGCTGCGGTGACCCAAACCATAGCAAAGCTCAGCATGTAAGAACAGGAAAATATAACATCAAGCCCAAAAAGCAGTCTCCTTCAGAACAGAAGACGCAGGATCTGGTCTCTTCTGCAGTGTCCAGCCCTGGGGGCTTGGCAGTCACTCGAGGACACAGTGGTGGAAGAGCTTATGCAACCCCAGGAGCTGAAGCTGGGAAACCTCTTCTTTCCCTCTAAGCAATGACAAACAGACCTTTTCTGTGGCCTTCCCAAGGAGGGCAGCAGCCACAGGACTTCCATTGGCCGACTGTTCTTTTTAGGTGAAAACCTGGCTCTGCTGGTATAAAAAGGTTGGGGGGCGTAAGAGTGGGGCCAGTTTCCAACCCCTCCTGTATTTCACTGGCAGGAAAGTTTCTCTTATTACCACTGTTCATGTACTGCCCCCTTTTTGTCATCTTTTCACCAAACCAGTATGTCAGATCTCTGATTTCTGACTCGACACAGGTAAGTCGCTTTTTGCAATACAATGAGAGAAAAGTCATAAAAAGTCAGGGCCAGAAGAGATGTTAAGTCCTATCTCATCCATCCCTCTGCAAGAGTAAATTTTAACTAAGCTACCTCTGAGAAATGCTTGTTTCTGTAACTTCTCTTCATAGCTCATCCTAGTGCACCATTTCCTGCTAGCTGGAATCTTTTTCTTAATAATTCTTTTATTTCCCAGATACTCTCAGTTTTCTCTTGTATTATCCCACAAGAATTAGTCATTCTTTTCTTCTATAATAAGCTTTGATAAATCAGAAAACAAAACAACTTCTTATGAGTTTGTTTATTCAGCTTTTTCTCAAGGGACAGCTTTTCTTAGCACTGCTGTTGTTTTTTCTCAGATTCTCTCTGTTTGGCTGTATTTTCCTGTGAGTGTGCTCCTCAAAACTGAGGGATTATTTGAAATAAGGCGCTCCTATTTCTAAGATTAGATGTTATTAGATGTTGTTCTCCACAGCAGCAACACTCTGCTGACTCACTGCGTGAGAGCCCATCTAAGCCCTCCACAGATGCTTTCCTGCTGGACTCCTGCCCAGCCAGTTATTCCCAGTTCTACACCTGCAAGGTTTTTCATCATTCAGTGCCACACATTGCAGTTGTCTTCTCTGAATTTCATCTTCTAGATGTCAGCTCTCCAGTTTATGAAGCTTATCTGTCATCAAAACCTGTTCCCTTTTCTGCTTCAGAAGGGCTCTCACTTTGGTGTCATCTTCAAAGTCACTCACAAGACACAAGCCAGGACAGATACCTGTGGTACCTATTTGAATTCTCCACTAGACAGCTCTCTTTGAGTCTTTTGCTTTATAACTTGTGTACTCATTTCATCCTGATCTAATTTTTGCATCTATTTTTCAAGTCCCTCTTTGTTACACTGTCATATCAGTCAGTATGAAGAGCCTCACCAGTGCCTATTTCTGCCCATCTAGCTCTGTAACCCTAGTGGGGAAGACAATTCAGTGGCATTGGTGCAATTTATTATTGAAAAATATGTGTTGGCTTCCATCTCTAGTTTTATTGGCACCTAGGTTCTCTTGAAAGGACTGAAAAGTACTGGAGCAAATATTATACTGCATACTGAAAGCAGGCAGACTGACTGTCATCTTTCTATTAATGACAAACTTCATTCCTTGAACTTCACCCAGCCTCAAAGACTTTTCATTTTTTCCTGAACTTTCTCCAATTTTTCAAAATAAAAGGTTAAATAATATCTGAATATCTGCCTTGCATGAAAAAAAAAAATGGTCTATCAAACTCTAACAAATACATAATGGAAAAAGTGCATTATATTACTCCATGTTGTGACACTTTGAAGATGCTATGCACAAACTATCAATCAGATTTGAGTTTATGAACATTAGATCTAAACCAGCCATGTGGGTACATCTGCTGGGGAGAGGCTACAGAACAAACAAAAAACAGCTAACAGAAAAGACCCTGATTTTTGTGAATCACTACAGCCAATGAAGCCTTAAGAGAAAACGTACAGATTTTGAAGGATTTTCCTTCAAGCTGAGTAAAAATCACTAGGAATTAGTGGTTTCATAAAAAAGGGGGATTCAGAAAGACAGAGTAACATGGCTACAGAACAGGAAAACAGTGTTTTAGATTAAAAAATCAAATCAGAAATGGAAGAGGGTGGCACTCAGGGCATCTGCAGAGTGGAGTTCCCACAGTCACTTGATATGAGTGACAGTGTCTGGGCTCTGCAAAGTCCAGGCTGCAAAGTCAACACATACTTTAAATAATATTAGTGGTAATTAGATGTTCTGAACCAGGTAAAGATATCATTGGAAGTTCATGAGGTTTTGGGTCATAGAGAACGTTCACCCTTTTATGTCTTTCAAAACAACAATAATCTTCCCATCTGCTACAGCCATGTGATGGCATCTAGCTACCTTCTATATCTTACTCTCTTCAGGCTCTCACTTAAGGATTAAGAGCAAATCAAATGTTCTCTTCTGGACTTCAATTCTTTTGTGTCTGGCATGTCCCAAGCATACAGACTGTATGGCCCCAAAGCAGGGTAGGTGTCTTCCTCCTTACTGAAAGCAAAATGAACACATAATCTGTGGATTAAGTGATCTACAGTAAACCAAGAACATCAGTTACCTAGAATTTAAAAAAATATGTGGATTTTACATTCCCATTCTAAGAGATGGTGGTGTACACCAGGTCACATTAAGTCTGCAGTTGCCCTGCATCGAAAGCAGTCTCTCTGGTATCTTCAAGCTCCTCTGAGGAATGGCACTATAAGAGCAAGGAAACACTTGAGCAGTATTAATGGAGTATTTGTATTAAAGTCATGCCCAGAAGCTCAGGCACATACAGGAGCGAAATCAGTTTTCTCCGTGAAGGCCTTGTTCCATAGAGATGGAAGAAAGGGATAACACGATAGAAGCAGCTGATGCAGGACTCCTCTTAGCTGAAACTAGGAAACTTCATGGTTTTCTACAAGTAAGACTAAGCAAAAGTAGTTTGTTGACATAAAAAGAGATAGAAGATGGCAGAACAGTCATTTGTACAAGGTAATGCAACATAGATTAAAACTTATTCCATAATGTGGGAGGAGGCAGAATAGGCATGGAAATTATACAGCTATTTGCATGGTTGCATATGCAGTTAATGCACATGGTCCTGACTGTGTGTGTGTACACACCTGCATTTAGTTGAAAGAGATGATTCCTCATTTAAAATAGTACATATGCAGCAGGTGTATTAATCTGAAAGTGAAATCATATCAGATCTTCACTGTTCCTTCTTGGTTTGGAAGAACCAGTGTATCTTCACCAGTTACCGTGCTGGACCTGTGGCACACCTAGTAGGTAGGGTTCTTTTCCTCCACCAAATCATCTACAGTCTAGTGCACTTTTGTAGTCTGCATGCTTCTTTTTCCCCATCCCTTGGCCTTCAAAGCAATAGCCAAGCTTTAGCAGAACTGCCAGATGAATGGGGTATTTGGAGGACCATAACCAGCAGAGCACAGGTTATGGCAGAGCACAGGTAGCGTAACTACGCTGCTCTAAAGCTGTAAACTCTGTAGATGAACCTAGTAAGGGACTTGGGATGGCAAGCCAGATTGTAACCTACTGGAATCTACATTAACTGAAAGCACAAGGAGAAGCAGCCAGTAAAACACAGGTATAGAAAGGTAGATACAGAAAATGAGCCAGAGACAAGGAGATGAAGTGTTCACCCTTTTTCTTGATAGCTTTAGAAAACAGAGTATATACTAATATGAACAGGCAGGTTCCCATATTCCTGCATAGTTCCAGCAGAAATTCCCATAATTCCAGAGGAGGCTGAGGAGGTCTGAGTGTGCTCTTCACATCCAGATCACTCTTGGAAGCTCACTGTATTCAGCATCTGAAGGGTTATTTCCCCCCTTCTCTCCCAAAGGATACAGGCTCCCCAGGAAGTCCAAGTTCACCGTTTCACAATAGGTGTGAAACAGTGTTTATCCCATGAAAGCATGTTACTATTTTTAAATATAGCTGTGCTAGACAATCTGCACAACTGGTGATTCAGGAGAAAGTATGTCAGAATTGTGCACTACAAGACTATCCAGAATATCATACTTGCTTATCACAAATCAAGTTCCTTGTTCTCTACAAAATTCAAGGAGTCGAGCTTACTCTGCTTGCAATGCCAAAACAACTTCATATATCAAGGTGTATTTGTTACTTCCTGGGGTTTATAGCTGAAGTATAGATTAAGAGTTTTGAATAGACACAGTGAAGATGAGAATGAATGACTAGATCAAACAGTTAATTAAAACTATTTAGGGGAAAAGTGACAACTTAAAAGGCAAAATGACAGTTTTTCAGCAATTTAATATGCTATTGTGATCAAAATTGCATTCTACACAGGATAAGAGAAATCATTTTCAAATAAAAACACCTCTCAAGTATCAAAGCTTTCTATATGTGAAATGTAATTTAATTTTTCCTATCTGATAGCAGAGCATCAGATCTTGCTGGTTTGAATATGTTTCTATCAGTTAAAAACATCCTTTTGTCTGAGATTTACCCTTGAAAGATTAAAAGGATTTCAATGATTTTTATGGCAAAAATCAGGACTTTCTTCTTTTCTTTTCTTATCAATCTGAATGTGTTGTGCCCTGGTCATATCTTTATGCCTGAAGACTTTGGGCTCTTGGAAATGCTGTCTAATGATCTAAAAAGACCCAAATTTCACTCTGCAAGGAAAGCTCTGTTACAATCTACTGGACACCAACACCACAGAGAAAAACATGAACTGAAGGAACCCCATTTTAGGCTAATGTCATCATTTCATTTCCACAAAAGCTGTGGTTCCATCTGTTCATTCAGGAAGCCACTATGCTTAAGGAGGCTAAGCCACCACTGCACGGAGCCGGGCTGTGAACTACCTACTGAATTTCACAGAGTCTGGAGCATGTCTTTGATAGATCCTTCCAACAGAACTTTCACAAGTTTATTATGTCCTGCTTCCCCACACGGATTTTTATGGTGTTAGCAGTGCCAGTCTTACACTGAAAAGGATGCACTCTCCCATGAGCCTGCATGACCTGTCACCTGAAGTGATCCTCCACAGGACTCTTGTTTTTGCCAGGAGCAGTAGCTGATTCCTCTATGGCAGCTTACTGGTATTACTACTCCTGCTGGGCCAATAAAGGCGCTGGGTCAGCCAGCGCTCACTGGCATGATCTGGGATCTCCCAGTAGAGGAGAAAGTTTGGTGTGGAAATTAGGTACCCACAATGAGTTTGTGAATCTCTGCAAAGCAGAGATTATACCACTGCAACTATAGGAAACAAACACTCAAAAAGAAAAATTCTTTCTGACAGGAAATATCTCAAAACACTATTAAATCTTTCATGACATTTTACTGAACATTCTTTTTCCAATTTCCTTCTAGACTTAATCTCTTTACCATGCATTCTTTTTCTGAAATGGTATTTCTCTCTCACCTCTGGAAATTCCTACCTGTACCTGGAGTTGCTTGTCCCACAGGACTCTTACAGCACTCTAACAGGTTTAGGAGAATTTAGCAAAGGAGTGACTTGGAACGTGATATTGCCTAAAAATCCTCTAACCATGATTAGTATTTATGAGATTATTGTTCCTCTGTAAATTAAAATACATTCTCTATGTATTTGACATTTAAAACATAAGTCACCTTATGTTTATCTGTGTTGTCAATTACTAGAACATTAAACATCATTTCCTATAAACAGCCAGTTATGGGGAAAAAAAGCTATCCCTTTTCAAAATAAATGAACTCAAGCAGAAGCTGTATCTGTGTGTCAGTTTTGTATCACCTTTTAACTGATGGATGCATTGCAGGAGATACAGTAAAACAGAAAATGTCAAATACACTCTTAGGTGTCTTTCTAGATGCTGGAATGACATATTTAAAGCTCTTCTTGTGCCAGGTGGGGAAGGACAAAGTCTGAACATATAATGTGTGTGCATTCCTCATCGGTGAGACAGTCAGAGTGTGGCAGCCCAGGCTCCAGCTGCTCAGGAAGGCAGACAGGGTTCTTATCTTTGAGCAGTGGTGGGTGTAATGCACACAGCACAAGCCATCAGATTTCCTTGGTCATTCTTGCAATACTTGCACAGAATCCTTGCCATAAAAATGACATCTCCAAATAGTTTGGCAGTTTCCCTTGTATATCAGCTGGGCACACAGTTCCCCTGGCACTTAACAGTTCTCTCCTTGATATTAATCATGCTAGTACCTGCTCTGCCCTTCATCCCTTGCTTCCCCGTAGTGATATTTTTTTTGGACTGTTTGCTGAAGAGTGCCTGGGACGTTGCCTCTTCAGGCAATACACCTCAGCTCTGCCTCATCTCTGGGACACTGCTGTGAGTCTCCAGAGGAGCTGTCTGCCCCCATCTCCTCCTCCGTGAGACAAGCCTGTACCCACAAAGGCTAACACCAGCTCTTGTGGTTTGTACACAGACAGTCCTTCATCCACACTGCAGTCTGAGACCCACCAGTGAACCTGCAGAGGAATGACCAACCATTCACCCAGGAGGCAAAGACACAGCAGGTCCCACAAGCTGTTCTCCAAACTTCATTTAATAGCTCCTTGGGTACTAAATTTAGTTATTTTTCATCTCTCCTTTATCTTCCTCAGTAACTAACTCCTTAAGACTTCACCTGACATGGTCCTGTTGCAAATTGCTCTACAAGCATCATCCACTCAGCCTGAACCAAGAGAGCCCATATGGCTTGGGCAGCCTTAAAAACAATGTCTTGCTATTGCCACTGAAACTTTCATCCCTGTTACCTTCTGTTTCCATGATCAAAGTAAAACAAATGCAGTTTGTTAAGGTGATTTATAATGGCTCAACTGGAAACATCCTCCTCTCCTACTCCTTTAGTATTACTGCTCCTCAGGCTTGTCTTGGCACTAATAACTGGGTTACTCAATTGACCAGTCTTCCACCACCTGTAAATAGGCCCAAAATCCCAACTGAAGCACCTATCAGGGAACCTTTCTTTATACCAAAGTGCACCAAGGAAAATTTTACGCTCATTTTCTGAACCTTCTGCACTCCACTGTGCTGCAGTGCTAGGTACTGTGGACAGAGAGTTCCATGGGGAAACCACCCCAGCCTTTGGGAAAACCTCTTGAAGGGAAACTATCACTTTTTCTGTTATACCACCTGGGTCCTGTCTCAGGACAGCGGACTTATGACAGAACCAGATGGTCTGCCCAACCCAAAAACCTGCTTCCTGGCTGGGAAAGTTCCTGGCACTCCCTGATTGGCAAAAAGAAATTAAGAATGGGAGAATGAGCATGAACATGGCCAACTCTTACCATCTCACCTGCTCTCTTTCACTCTTACAGGCACACATAGACCCCCTTGCCCTTTCCAACACCACACACACTGTGAATGGTTTGTGTGTGGCTGGGTTTTGGTAGCAGGGAAAGGGCTACATGGATGGCTCCTGTGAGAAGCTGATAGAAGCTCCACCAGCACCAAGTCAAACCCACCTCTGAGCAAGGCTGAACCAATCAATGACACTAGTAATGTCTCTGTGGTAACATATTTAAGAGGGGAAGAACCTGTTGGACAAGGCAGAGTTGTGGAGTGAGGAGTGAGATGTGAGAGAAATACCTATGCAAACACCAAACACATGGAGGTCCATGGTGGAGCAGTTCTCCACCTGCAGCCCCTGGGGAACCCCACTCAGAGCAGGTGGATGCACCCAAAGAAGTCCGGGACTCTGAGGGAAGCCCACGCTGGATCAGTCTGTTGCTGGGAGGACTGCAGCCCACAAAAGGGACCCACACTGGAGCAGTTCATGAAGAGCTACAGCTCTGGGGGAAGGACTCACACGCAGAGTTTGAGGAGGACTGTCTGCCATGGGAGGGAGCCCATGCTGGGACAGGGGAAGAGTGTGAGGAGTCCTCCCCTGAGGAGGAAGGAGTGGCAGAGACAATGGGTGATGAACTGATCACAATCCACATCCTCTGCCCCTCTGTGTCACTCAGGAGGAGGAGGTAGAGAAACTGGGAGCGAAGCTGAGCCCAGGAAGAAGGAAGACGTGAGGGGAAGGTGCTTTTAAGATGTGGTTGTATTTCTCACTATCCTACCCTGATTTGGTTGGTGTATTAAGTAGTGGGGTGGTGGTGTTCAAACTAAATTGATGGGGTTTTGTCCAAGTCTGTGTTTTGTTCATGACAATAATTGGTGAGTGAGCCCTTCCTGTTCTTGTCTCAACCTACAGGCCTTCAAGTTGTATTTTCTCCCTATCCCACCAGGGGAAGAAATGTATGAGCAGCCACATGGTGCTTACTCGCCAGACAGGCCTAAACAACAGAAATATACATGCATACATGCACACACTCCTCTTTAGATCCTGGTACAGGGGTCATTGCTTTATACCTTCCATCACTTTCAAATGTCCTATAATTTGTCAGTAGGACAAATGTCCCACTGTCTTCCATCCAGAAAATCCTCCCACATACAGGCTCTGAGAGTACATTTTGGGTATGTTTTTAACTTCTGAATTCAAACAGGTAACTTTTCATGCCATGCTTGATATATGACCTTTCATAACCATTGTGTTTCATCCATTAAAATAAGTTTCTTACAGGATTGATTGCCATGACCTTCTCTTCTCTCAGTGCCCAAATGTGATGGGTATTCAAGAGTTACACAGGACCTTTTCCCTTATTATTAACCTACACATTATTCAGAGTCCCCAAAATAAGACTAGGAAAGGAAAAGGACAAAAAACATTCAGCCAAGTCTTAAGTCATGTGAGCTGAACAGAAGCCAGCTGAAGTCTGGGCTACTGGATCATCAAATGCAATACTGTCCCATGAAAAAGGAGATGTAGAAGAGCAGAAAGTTATGAGGTAGAGGAGGAAGGGAGAGAACTGCAGTACTGGAGTATGGAGACCAGCCCAAAGGAGATCAAAGAACTGGAGCAAAGGTGCTTGTTTAACTTCTCAGTGCTCTTTTTCAGAAGGCCCCAGAAGAAACTCATATATTTTCATCCTTGTCTACCCCTTCAGATACAGTTGAATAGACTATACAAAATGAGCCCATACAGAGATCAGAAAATTTAGGCCTGATCTGATTTTTTTTTTCTTTTTGCAATCCCACATTCTTAGTGCCTCTGATGCTAGTGATGTTACTATTGGAAAGAGGTAGATCAGTCCAAGGGAGAAATACAACATCCATGTAAGATTCCTATCAGGGATCTTGCTATGTCCCTCTGTGAAAACTGGAAAACAATAGATTTTTGGGTTATATTTCCTCAGATACATATTGTGCAACTTCTGATGTAACTATGAAGCTCATGAGTTTAACATAGTTTCAACAATATTACAAAGGTCAGTGTAAGTGCTCAAAAAAAAGACAAAGAGCCACATCCCTCATTTGGCAGACCTTTGTCATGCCAAACTTCTCACTCAGAAAATTGAACTTCCTTTCAGTATTTTGCCTTCAGCCAAATATTTATGCCTATGGTAAGAGAAAGATGCTGAATTTGTTTCTACAATTCTGTTACTCTGTTCAGGAATAAAATAAAAAAAAAAAAAAACAACAAAAATAATATGTTCTAAGGGTTGAAGGCTTTGTGATATTTATTAAGGCAACAAATATCAAATGGAAAACTATTTAAGGCTTTCTCTGGAGTGGTCTTTCTCTGGAATATACACCCTCATTCACAAACTGTGCCCTGAACTTTTGTGGAAGCCAAATGTTCTGGAGCGAGCAGCTGGAATCCATTTGCCATCAATAAACATTACAAACCTCTTGTGTGCCTGTACCAGCTTCCACTGAAATAACACAGCTGGATAGCTTGGGAAAAACAGTGCTGCAAGTCATTACTGTATTTGTCTCTGTGCAAGTGGGAAAAGTTGGGAATATTTTCAGATCTGTTGGTTCATTTTGACCACACCGTCACCGGACATGGTTTTTATTAAACTTTGCACGTTTGGGTAACTTAATTGTTTCTCTTGATATAACCTCATTTATACACCTGCAACCCACTTTTGAAATTTGTTGGATAAAAATTCCTGCCAGAATAATGGACATCTAATTTTGTTTATACAAAAGAGCATACTTAAATTATCTTAAAATATCTACATTAATATACTTATAAATATTGTTACTTATATTTTTGCATTTCAGAATGTATTTGGGGATAAGTCACTGAGACATTATTATAGAAGTGAGATATTCCAATTTTTTTTGTCCCTGAATTACTGCAGGATGAACACTATATGGAACTATTGCTAAAAAGCAGTATTTTTCTGATCTGCCTTTTTTTTTCTTTTCTTACTTCAGAAATTACTCCAGCCTAGCAGAGAACTACCTGGAGGACTGGTTCAAGCTGAGTTCGTCTGTATTGCAAACAGGGTCTATACAGTTTGCAGGAGTGGGATGCCAGTACACATTTGTGCCTGAATTTCTTATCGGGGCACTGCAGCAAGATGCAAAATAATATTCTACATTCCATTTGTGTAAGAGTAAGGTTCTTTTCTGTCACTCTGGACTACTGAGCAACACCAGAATATAAAACATTATTAAACAAACATGTTGCTGCCAAACTACTATTTTTTGTTTCCACCCAAATAGGTGCACTGCACATCAATCATGAATGCTTTCTTTATCTCTCCGTATTGCTGATCACTGTTCTTAAGGATATTTATCTTGAGTTTTTTCTCTGAAAATCTTTAGGGCCTTGCTAATTTTGTTTCACTCATTTAATGCCAGGTTTTCTGATAGTAGAGCTATTTTTTGTGCTAAGATATCTTCCTGAAAAGCATTCCTTTAAGTTCAGAAGTTCTGCTTCAAGATGGGTATGATAGTGAAATCACAGATGAAATTGTTGTTACATTTAGCAACTGATAATTTTTGCAAATGTTTGAACAAAACCAATTTAATGTGAAAAATAATCTCTCCTCATCCTCAGTTACTCTACAGAAATGCAAAATATTAGGTTTCCACTGTAGAGGATTCATAGGTTTTCAAATAATTCCCATTATTAAAAAGCCAAGAAAAAAGTTGTGTTTCACTGTTTGTTATTATGGCAGTAGGCCATGTTACAGTGGTATATTTTGTGACAATGTGTTGTATTATCTGATGTGTTTGTTTTAGTATGTGTTTCAGGAAGAACTCTTGAGATTAATCCAAAAAGCACTCACTGATGGCAAGAGGCACTATTATATATAAAATATAAAGCACAAAACACCCCCACTAAGTTATAAAATAGCAGCACATGCACAAACAGAAGTTGCTCTGATTGCAAGTAAATACATAAATATGATCACACAACAGAGATAGTACCAAAAATGCTCAATACATACATGTCTATGTTTACTTTTTTGTTGAAAAGCAGACTTCCTGGGACTGAAATTTGTCTCCCATTTCACTGATTACTCTCTAGTTGCTTTATAAACAAACCAAAATTGAGCCTAAATCATGTAATCTGCTCTTCTTAAGTGTGAAAGGTATGTCTATTGGTTTCCAGAGTTACCTTATTTTCATTAATGGCTTTGCACGGCCTGAAGCTGACTGACAAGTATTCCTGAACACATCATTTTATCTCCATGTTCCCTTCTGATTCGAATATGTGCAAAATAAACTATCCTGATAAATGTCTGAGAAGCAATGGAGAATAGAGATAGGCACATCATGTTTTAGTGCTACTGTTCCTTAGAGTGCTGTTAGAAATCATCTACAACTGGGCCATGCTCTGTCATCATTATGCTTTGAATATTTCAATTATAATTAAACCATCATAATAATTAAAAATGTAATTTAAAGACTAATTTCCAAACCATTCCAAGTCTCCCACTAAGCACTATTATCTCTCTCTTTTGTTCACCTGAAGCTTCCAGCTTCATTTCAGTCAGAGCCTGAGCGGTATGTTTCACTCCTCAGAAACCTCCCCATTTTGATAACTTAATTCTGAAATACCATTTCTCTCTGAATCTCTGTGCTTCACTTGAGTAATATATTGTTACAACTGGGTGGTTCAGCCTGAATACCAGTCTACAGGTTACCAATTTAACTCTTCAGCAATTAGATATGACTGTAATTGTTGCAGATAAGTTAACCCACATAAATATTAGATTCTTTTTCTTCATCTCTGAAGGGCAAGCAAACTTATTGTCCTGGGTTTGAATGGCAAGGTTTTGGTAGTAAAGGGGGCTTGCAGGGGTGACTTCTGTGAGATGCCAGAAGTTGCCCCCAGATTGGTTGGAGTCAGTTCCAGCTGGCTCCAGGATGGACCCGCCACTGGCCAAAGATGAGCTCATCAACAATGTTGGTAGCATCTCTGTGATAATAAATCATAATAAGAAGGGGAAAAAAAGGCCTGTTAAAACAGTGGTCAGGAGAAAGGACTAAGAATATGGGAGAGAAACAATACTGTAGTCACCAAGGTCAGTGAACAAGGAGGGGGAAGAGATGGTCCAGGAACCAAAGCAGAGATTCCCCTGCAGCCCCTGGTGCAGCCCATGGTCAGACAGGCTGTGCCCCTGAAGCCCATGGAGGTCCATAGTGGAGCAGGGAGATGGTCTGGCTCCATGACCTTGCTGTGAACAGAGGCGAGACTGACTGGCCTGTAGTTCCCCAGGTCTTCCTCTTTTCCGTTTTTAAAAATGAGGGTTATGTTTCCCCTTTTCCAGTCAGCAGGAACTTTGCCAAACTGTCACAACTTCTCAAATATGACAGATAGTGGCTTAGCCACTTCATCCGCCACTTCCCTCAGGACCCACAAATGCATCTCCTCAGGTCCCATGGACTTGTGCAACTTCAGGTTCCTTAGATGATCTTGAACCTGATCTTCTCCTGCAGTGGGTGGTTCTTCATTCTCCCAGTACCCACCTTTACCTTCTGCATCTTGGGCAGTGTGGCTGGAGCTCTTGCCTGTGAAGACTGAGACTGAGTACCTCTCAGCCTTTTCTATGTCCAAGGTGAACAGGTCTCCCTTTTCTTTCCAGAGAGG